CCTTTCTTTTTCTCCCTCCAAAAAGATTAAAAAACGGTCAAAAGATATAAACCTTAATCCTTTTTTATCTACAAAGCCTCTGATATATATTTTTACATATTTCTTACACCCCGATAAATAGTTGCGATAGACTATGTGTCTTTATTTTATCCCGTTTTTAGGGTATATTAGGTTTTTAGGTATATTTTTAGGGTATATTACCACTTTAGGGTATAATATAGACATTTATGTAAGATATCAGTGTCTTTATGTAAGATACAGTGTCTTTATATATCCTAAGTCGGAAGCATTGGTGCTATGGTACCATTTTGGGGTACATTATATAGGAATATATTAAAGGAATATAGAATCAGTTCTAAAAAACGTAAACATTTACCTCCGCATTCGGTATCATATCGTATATCCCAGTTTCTGTCTATGATAGGATAAAATATGTAGAGGTCGAAATAATAATTACCCTCCCTCAAATAATTACCCCACCTCTATTAATTACCCCCTCCAGCGGAAGGTCGAAACAATAATTACCCAGGGTAGTTATTAAAGGATATACGGTATATAAGATTTTCTCAAGGGAATTTTTTCGTTAAATTAAACTAGGTGTAGTTAGAGAAGGGACCAGTGTTCACAAGCTCGTACCAAAATTCGTACTCATACTCGTACTTTGGTACGAAGTACGAGTACGAGCAAAATTGAAATTTATGAACACTGAAGGGACTTTTTAAATTTATATAGATTGACTTAAAGGCTTTCGTGAATGGAAAAGATAGGAGAACGAAAATCATTACTCTTTTCCTGATCTGTTCCTAAACGTTTTCAGTGATTATCTTGAGTAATTATTTTTTAACCTTTCACTGAGGGGATAAGGTTTAATTAATTGGAAGGAGGGTGAGGGGTAAATCAACAAAAGAAAAGGTGGGGGGGGGGGGTATTTGGGAAGGTATTTTTTATATTCTATTCTCCTGTTCCAAGCAGAGGTGGGACGGAATTCCGATTTCAGAAAAAAATTTTGATTTCAAATTTCCGAGTTCCGACTTTTGAGCCAGTTCCGATTTCCGGCTCTTCCGATTTCCGACACCTCTGGCTGTTTCGACCCACCTCTGCTTCCAAGCAGAGGTGTTATATATACTAGAGTTGGGCGGGATCGGGATCCCGACGTAAAGTCGGGATCGGGATTTTGGAATGATGATCCCGATCCCGGTCCCGATCCCGACTGCGGGATCGGGATTGGACGAAATCGGGATCGGGATTCGGAATAATGATCCCGATCCCGGTCCCGATCCCGACTCGGGATCGGGATTGAAAAATCGGGATCGGGATTTAGTTAAAAAAAATTTTCAAAATTTAAATTTTTATTTACATTGCATATACCTCAATATAATTCCATAATTTTCATCTGCTGTGCTGAAATATTGATTTTAAGTCCCAGCGCGCATTTGTTCTTGGCGTATCAGGGATTAAGGAGGAGGGATAAAGTATTAACGATAAGGTGATTCTGATGGATTAAGAGGGATATCGTTGATTAATGAGATATTGGGATCTAGATGGACATCTAGGATAGCCATTATATCCGTTCAAATCCATTCCGTCGATAGTTTTATAAATGAGTCTTCTTATTCACCGCCGGAGGCAAAAATTTCGAAGATTCTCAAGCCAAAATCTTCATTTTTAGCGCCGCAGGCGAAAATTTTGAAAATTTTGTATGGCGTAGAAGCCAAATTGCTTTCTTTTCAGCTCATTAATTTATATTTTCATTAATTTATAAAATCCCGATTTCATCGGGATCCGATTGCTAATCCCGATCCCGGTCCCGATCCCGGCTCGGGATCGGGATCGGCCAAAACCGGGATCGGGATTTGTCTTTCGGGTTCGGGATCAGAAAAATCGGGATCGGGATTCAAAAAAACCGGGATAATCCCGCCCGATCCCGACCGGGATCCCGATCCCGCCCAACTCTAATATATACAAGATATTTTGGAATATACATATGGCCTCGTTTTGGAACTTTAAATTCTATTAAAATTTATTTTTAATGAAAATAGTAAAATTTTCTTCTATGTTTTATGTAGTAGGTCTAAAAAAGTTCCTTTTTTGTTATCGCATGTTTTATTTTTCCGTTTCTTCTAAAAAAATTTTTTTTGAAATAATTTTTTTCTATATTCTAATTTATTTTTTGTTAAGATAAATAAATTTAAAAAAAAATTTTTTTTCAAAATTTTTTTTAAAAAACGTCAAATTTTAATTAAAATAACCAAATTTTAATTTACTTTTTTCTTTTTTTTTAATTTTTCAAAATCTTCTCCTTCAAATATATTAGTGCAATTAAGCATTTCCGTCATTAAAATTGCTTTGGTTTCTTTTAAAAAAACGTTTCATCCCACAAACATTTTTTTTAAATTTTTTTAATCTGTCTTTTTAAAGGATTAAATATTTTTTAGGGGATTAAAATTACAAATAGAAAATATTTTCTTTTAAAAAATATTTTTTAATATTTAAATTTAAATAAAAGTTGTTGACTTGTTTGAATATTCAGAAACCTTGTAATTTATTTATTTATTTATTTATTTATTTGCCTCTTGGGCGACATTACAAATTTGAAAATACATATATGGATTGAAAAAATAAATTAAGTCAAGTTGAAAATTAAACTAAAACAAATATATGTCAATAATTGGTACAACAAATATATGTGATTGTATTATGTTACGGGTGTGGGGCGTGATAAATATGTGTTGAGATCTATTTGATCAAGAAGTGTTTTGAATATTTTGGAATTTGATTTACGTATTGATATTGGTAACTGAGAGTATTGTAATTATAAAAAATAAATTTTTTTAAATTTTTAGCAAACAAGTTAACATTTAAATAAATTTTATGATTCATTTCTCTTTAAAATTTAATTAAAAAATTATAAAAAAATATTTTTCGTTTAATTTCGCTTTAATTTAAGCGCTTTATTGTTTGCGTGTTACGCACACGTTGGTTTATTCGAGCAATAATAAAATTGCAAAATTTCAATTTAGAGACGTGAAATTTTGCATAGATATCCCTCATATTGTCAACTAATTTTGTTTAAAATTTAAAAATTTTTTGTTTTGTATTTCCTTTGTTATTATCGAAAGAACGAAGAAAATCGGTACTTTTTAAAGAAAATTCTGACATTTTCGACCAGAATATTCTGATTTTGGTACCTAAAATTCTGATTTTTTGAGAATTGGCAGTCAACACTATTTGGCATAACTCTGCCAAATTTCATGGTTTTATATAAATTTTTGGCGATTTTACAAGCGTTCACGCCATGTCTACCTTGCGTCGAAACATGCTCAGAATTTCATGTCTCGCAGAAATTTTTTTTCTTGAAAAAATTTTTCCTTTTTTCCTTTAATCTACACATTTGGTTCTTTTATTTAATATTTTTTTAAATTTACCTCTTTTTAACAATTTTGTTTTAATTGTTTTTTTTTCACGTCATGATGCTCTAATTTAACTGGATATTTAAATATTCAAAATTATTTCCATAAATTTTAGGAATAAATTCCAAGTATTTTTTAAAATATTGCTATTTTTAATTTTTTCAAATGCCTAAATCCTTTTTAATTGTTTAAGGAAGTTCTCAAAATAAATTTTTTATAATTTGGAAAATAATTCATACACCTATATTTTTTATTATATAAAAATGATTCTCCAATTTATCCTCTATTTAGTCTCAATGCTGATTTTAAATTAAAAATTCTAAAATTTTTTTAATTTTTCGATTTCTGACATTTGGGCTAGTTCCTTTTTCCGACACACCTTCGACTGTTCTAACTCACTTTCTACCCTATACATACCCATTTCCAAAAAAATTTTTACTAAAAATCTAATTGGTACTCCACCATTAATCTGCCATTCCCTCGGGAAGTATATATGTATGTTTCTAATAGGAGTTAGAATCCTTTTTAATGTTTGAATTTTATTTATGTTCATTCAGGTTAAATATAATCAAGAAAAAAATTTTTTTTAAATATTAATTATCAAATTTAAAATACCCAAATAAATTTTTGTCCTGCTAAACAAACAAAATATAAATTTATTTTACTAAAATTTAATCTTTTGAATTTATTTACTAATTTTGGAAGATTTTTTTCAATTTCCTTTTTTATTTATTTTAACACCTTTATTTAATATTTACACCCTCCTTTTATTTTTTATAAAAATTTATTTCAAGAAAATTCCCATAAAAATTAATATTTAAATTTTCTAGGTAGTTTAATAAGAAATTAATTTGAATTAATTAATTAATAATTAAAAAAAAAAGAAAAAAATTAAAAAATCAAATTTTAAGAAATTTAAAATCAGACATTTAAATATAATTTTTTTATTAATTTTTAATTTTATTTTAAAACTTTTTTAAATTAAAAAAAAATGTTAAATCACCTGTCTAATAATTTAATAATTTTAATTTTTTTGCAATTAAAAATTTTTTTTAAAATAATTTTAATCAAACATTTAAATTTTGCTAGAAATAGACTAAATTTCCGTTTAATTTATTCAGAAATTATAGTAAACCTTTAAAATTATTTTTCGGCTAAAATTTTCAGCTTAAATAAACTATCAACATGTTGAACAAAAATATTTAAAAAATAAGGGTTGTCGGTTCGGAACCGAGCCGAAGAACTGAGGATTCTTCTGTTCGGCTTTTCGGTGTTCTTCAGAGGATAGAGGATTTCTTGATTTTTGGCTTCCTGAAATTCCAAAAATTGAATGAAATTTCTATCTCATAAAAAGAATTTTTGGAACGTAAAAAAATTTTTACCCTCTAAACACTTTTCGTGTTAGTTTTGAATATCGAAAGATTTTCCAAAAACCTCCAATCCTGCCATAGAGTTATCGTTACTAGATTGATCATTCTTTAAAAATTATCTAATATCCAGAACCGCTACCCCTAATTAATTAAACATTATTGAAAGAGCCTCTCTTTTGTCATCATTTCCTCCTGTCTTTTAAATTTAACTTTCATCTAATCCAGATAAAATAATTGGAAATTGTGTATTTCGAAAAAAATCGCGAATTCCATAGAACTCTTTGAATATATCTCAGTCGTGATTGAAAAGAGAGAGATAGAAAAATTTCTGTGGAAAATAGATAAGAATACCTTGAAAATTTAAATAATTTTTTCTTATTTTCTAGTTAATTTTTTAATTACAAAATTCCCCCAAGAAATGGTTGTAACACAAATTAAACCAACAACACAAACAACATCCCCTTCTTCTTCCAAAAATTCAACAGAAGAAAATATTATTTTACCTCCAGAACATTTATTTAGTGATTATATTGAAATTGTTTATTTAGGCTCAGTTATTTTAACTGGATTAACTTTAAATTTTTGTGTTTTGAAACGTTTACTTATTGAAAAGAAAATGACTGAACGTGGGGGAAGACCTAAGGTAATTAAAAAACTTTTTTTAGTATGGAAAAAATTTTCCAACTTTTCGCCCGCAAAATTCTCTCACAAATTAGGCTTAATATTTTTATTGCATAGGCTTCTATATACTAAGTTTAAAAAAGTATTATGATTAAAAAATTGGAGGGAAGGCCTAAGATTATTAGTTTATGGGCTATTAGAGATGGGTGTTAATGGGAGATTTTCAAAAATATGAAAATTTTAGGCGTTTATTAAATAAATTAAACTTGTAGCAATGGTTTTGAATTATGAATTTGAATTCATTGAAAATTTATGACTTGGGTAATATAATTTAGAGAACTAGAGATTGGAGAATTAACTTGAGATTGAGAGATTGGACGGAGTGTTAATTAAATAAATAATTAATTAATTAACTAGAGATCGGACGGAGTGTCGTACGAGATTTCCTGAACAATCTCGATAATCGAGATTTTTGTAGAACGTATTGGTCCAATCTCTTGGGAAAATTGGGGAAATCTATGCATGGCCCATCCTGTTTTAATATCTGATTTCCCTTGCAATTAAAAATTTTTTTAATTTTTAACATTAGAATGGCTTTGTTCTACTCAAATTGAATTTAAATATAAGCGATTTATTAATTTTATTAATTCACGCACTTGGCAAACTTGGTTGGCTAATAACTTATGAATGGAAGGGGGGAGAGTGTTTGTGCCGAATATTTAATTTTCTTTCAATGTTTACCCTTTATTTGTCTTCAAATATTGTTATCTGTATTGCTCTAGATAGGTTAACTACTGTTTTGAATGCACAAAAATTAAATATGGGACAGCAAAAGGTTGGAAAATTGAACAAAATATTTTTTTAAAGTTCCCATGGCCTTGAGAACCGAACTGTGAAAAATCCTCGGTTCCGCCTCATTTTAGAATAAAAATAATTATTATCAATGAACTAATATGTAAACTTACTTTAACATAAACTAAGTTTTTTTCATTATTCCTAGGACTTAACTAGAGACCGGACTGGGAGTGTCGTACGAGAATCGAGATCACGAAAAATTCTCGATCTCGATAACCGAGATTTTTGTTGAGATCTCGTCTCGGGTCCGGGCTCTAATATGAACCATAAGCGAGATTGATAGGAGAATTTTACAGGCGAAAATTCAAAGTTAATATTGGGTAAATATTTTGGTATTTTTTGATTTTATTAAAAGAAAAGAGTAGCTAGATCTAAAATTTTATACACAAAATTGAAAAAACAAAAAATTGAAAAAATAATTTTTTTCAATTATTTATTTTTAGCTAAATTTGGTTAGAATAATGCTCATTTTTGCTTGGTTATTTTCCATTTTATTTAGCCTTCCACAGGTTTTTAAAAAAACTTTTCTATTAACTAAGTTTTATTTTTTTAGCTTTTTGTTTGGACAACCTACAATCCTTTTAGAAATTCACAATCACAGGGATGGGTGCAATGCACAGATGTAATGATAAATAAAAAATATTAATTTAAAAAAAAATTTTTTGAGAAGAAAAATTGAAAAATATTTTTAGAAAATCCTAGAAATTTTTTTGAAAAATTTTTAAAAAAATTTCAAAAAATTTTGAAATTTTTTGAAAATTTTCTTAAAATTTTTTTATTAAATTTTCTTTTAAAAAATTAATCAACTTAACAGATTTGGAGTATTGACCGCTATGAGCGTTATCTACTAGAACAACATCAACCCAATACAAATATTTTACAAAAAAATCATTCAAATTGGAAAGAATTTGTGCTTAGTCCTTTAATTCAAAATGGCTATGAATTAACACATTTAGTGGGAATTTAATAGAAAATAATTTACATAAAAATTATTTTTTTTAAAGTTTTTGGTTTTTTATGGCCCCTTAATTGTTTTAATTATTTGTTATGCTTTAATATCAACAAGACTTATTCGCTTTGCAGCCAACAATCCGAGAAATATTGCTAAGGTGAAAAAAACTTAAAAATAAAGTTTTTAATTATGGGATTTTATTATGATTTTTAGTGTTAATTAAAGATTTTCTCGTTAATTTTTGAGATTTTATGACTCTTATAATAGTGTTTACTGTGCTCGCAGTCCTGTTTTACTTTAAGCTTAATTTACAAATTTATTTTAAATTCGATGGTATTTCGTCCCATTAGCCTTAAAATTCTACGGCAAATTTAGATTGCCAGTTTAGATCGACTGTAAATTTTTAGGCATTGATCATATTAAAGTGGATCATATATCATTTGAAAGCAGACGGTTAAAAAAGTTATTTGGACTAAAAAATATAAAAAGTTTGTTGACGCCCCTAACTCCCCAAGGAAATGAACCAGGTGTCTGGGTCTGTGATTTTCAAAGTGATGCTGGGTTTTTTAGGGGCCTAAGTCCTTCAAAATCTTTTTATGGTCAATCAATTCTTTAACAAATAAATTATTTTTAAGACAAAAATTTTTCTTAAAAATTTTTCAAAAAATTTTAGACCCCACAATCAACAGCTCAACAAAATTGTTCCGTCACCAACAACGAAATAAACAATCGAAAGAATGGTTGGAAGCGTCGTTGTAGTAAACGTGCTTCTGTTAAAAGTTTCCCAGCTGTTAGATTATATTGTCAAATAAATGATAGTAGAGATTGTATTCACCAACCAGTATTATCCCCTACACCAGAAAAATCATCTTTTACAAATGAAAATGATTGCGAAATTGATAAAAATAATATGAAAAGTGGTGAAGGTAGAGGAATTTAAATTTGCTTTATTTTAGGGTTCACGTTGTTCTATCAAAGAAATGAACAAAAAAAATATTTTTTTAAAGAAAGTTTATTAATCTGAACCTAAATTTACACGCACATTATTTAAAAAGAACAAGTACTCATAAAAATTTTTAGGATGTGGGCTTAGATTTGGGAGAGATTAAGGAACACTTTTTAAATCTCTTGACCTCTCAAAATTTTTTTTGATGAATACGAAACTTAGTTAAACTGAAAACAATTTATGTAGCCTTTTCTCTGAAATCTTCCTGAGATAGGGACTTATATTTCGGAGGAGATGAATTTTGATTATTCTCCTCTTCATTTTAATCTCCTCTTCCTTGTAATCTTCAGATTCTCTAAAAAATTTTTTTGATCAGTTCTGAAACTCAAAAAGGGAAATAGGCTCTTATCTAGTCTTATAAATTCAAACTTTTATGTTAAAAAAATCATTTTTTCCTTTAGATTTACCACAAACTACTTCTCCAATTCCTCCTCTCAACGGATCAGTTTCTCCAAATAATAAAAATTATATAAGAAGATCTAGCCGTTTGTGTAACTGTAGAAGCTCAATTTCCACAAATTCTTCCTCCAATTTTATCCACTTAACACCTTCTAAACAACAAAATCAAGTTGAAATTGATCAAGAAAATTTTTCTTCTGCCAAAAGAATTTTTGTTAGATTGAGGAATTCTTTTACTTTAAGAGTGAGTTTTTTTAATTAAAAAAAATTTTATTTAAAAAATTTCTTGGATAGTTTAGGCGCGATAGTACTAGACGCGCGCTTATAAAATAAGTACCCCATAGATTAATAAGTACCCCATAGATTTTCTTCATACAATCAACCTTCACTTTTAGATCCTCTCTTGGGTTCAAAAAATAATACCTTATAATAAATAAAGTGTATCGCCTTGTTAGTTCTCACATCTACTAATGATCTACTAATGATAAACTCAAGTTAATCAAAGTTTATCTTAGAGTATATTAAAGTTTGGTAGGACTATAGTGGAATTTTCTTGTTTAAAATTTCAGAATTTCTGATTTTTTTAATATAGAAAAGTTATAGGTAAAACTCAAAAAAAAATTTTTTTTATCTTTTTACCAAAAATTTTAACATTTTCGATCAAAATTTTTTAAATAAACGACCAAAAATTATAAAAATCTTAAAAGGTACCAAATACACTAATTTATTACATTTTTGCAAATTTTTATCAATTTATCTTCTAACTTGACTTTTCTATGGGGCTGCGCACAACCCGCACCTGTCTCTCTCTTATTCTCATTTATTTTTTTTTTCAGTTTTCCAAAGGCCATCGTTTACTAGTTCCAAATAATATTCCTTTAAATTGTTCTGGAGAAAGTTGGGAAGATGCCAGAATTGGGGAGGAAGAAAGTTATGACGTTGAAAAGGCAGAAAATGAAAAAAGAAATAAATCACCAAATATATGTGAAGGTACAGCTTAAAAATATTTTTTTCTTCAATTTAAAAAAAATAAATTTAATTAAGCTTAACATCCAAAAAATTTAATTAAATATATTTTTAAATAATCTTTGGAAAAATGTCAAAATTAATTTTTATTAATTTTTGATTTTCTGTCCCTTCTCTTTTTGTTTTTAGTAAAAATATTCTTCTATTTTAACATTCGAAACTTTTATTTTGACTTTTATTTTTTATCAAAATTAAATTTCTTAATATCTATTTTGTGAAATAATTTTTTACATTAGACCAGAGGTGGGTCGGAATTTTTTCCTTCCGATTTCCGAGTTCCGATTTCCGGCTGTTCCGATTTCCGACATCTCTGACTGTTCCGACCCATATCTGCATTAGACTTTAAAAATCTTTTTAATTTTCAAATTTTTGAACATAATGTCAAAAATTTTTTCAAAAAAAATTTTTTTTTTAAATTACGCACTTGTCTATTTATTAAATTCTCTTTTATTTTTGTTTTTCTAAAAATCTTCTTTTTAAAAATCCTCTCATTCTTTTAGTTCCTCCACTCTTCCCTTTCGAATTACGTATTTTTCAATATTTTAAAATTTAAATTCTTTTAATTTCTTTTAATAAAAATATTTTTTAATAACAATAAGCTTCTTTCTTATCCTTTCTTCTTCTTTTGACCTTTATTTTTTAAATTTCATTTTAAAAATTATTAAATTGGAAGTAAAATTTATTTAAAAATTATGACGATAATACTTAAATAAATAATTTATTTTTAAAAATAATCTTAAAATATCCTTTATTATTTTCCTAAAATATTTTCTTTAAACGCTCATCTTTATTTTTTAAATGTTTTTATTAAAATAATTAAATAATTTATTTTCTCAAAGATTTTAAGATCAGACTAGCTTAAGTATTCTTCACTCAATTAAATCGTCATTAAATCTCTTCTACATATATCAAATACTCTTAAAATTTCAAAAAAATTTTCCAAAGATTTATTTTTAACTCGGAACTCGCTTAGGACAGACTTAGGAGTTTAAAAAACAATTTAAAACACAAAAAACACAAAAAACCACAAAAAACCAAATCCTTCCAGAATTTACAGGTTATCGCCCTCTCTCCGCCTCCTTAGGCCACTACAACCCTCGTTACCGTCAAAAACGTTCTGGAAGTAACGGAGTAGGAGGGATATGTTCAGCACTTAAAAAGCACCAACAAAACCACCAAAATTCTTCAGAACTACCTTCCAAAAATCGTTCTTCTTCAATTCGTTCTTCCTCAGTTTCAACAATTGGGGGAGGATGTAGTAAAGGGACTTCTTCTTCCTCCCTACCTTTGTGGAGAAGACATTTAAAAAGCAGAGCTTTTCGTGCAACACTTTTAGTCATTTTAGCTCATGTATTGCTGTGGTCCCCATATAATTTTTATGCTTTAATGAAGCATTGTAATGAAAGAATTTACGAACAATTAAGTGAACAGGCCAATGTTTTGAAGGATTTACAATTTTTAATTGTGTTAATTAACCCTTTTCTTCATGGATTTGGAAGAAGAATTCAGGGGAAAGAAGGAAATATTGGGAAAGATACAAACAATAATAATCAAAATAATCATCAAAACACACAAAATTCTTAAATTTTTAAATTTTATTAGGTGCAAATAAAAATAAAAAGTAGCCTCGGATTAAATTACCTAAGGGTTACAGTAGGGCTTCCTTTTAAAACTGTTTTCGGTAACCGAACCAAAATTTATAGATATTCTTATCGTTGTAAATAGGGTTGCCGTCGGTCGAGTATCATAGGCCCGACTCTATCTTTCGGTTCGAGTCGGTCCATTTTAACACCCCTACTGGTGTTTTGAACGGAGTCGAATATATATTTTTATTTTTGCAAATTCTTATTGTTTTTATGAACTATTATTTTTTGTATTTATTTAAAAAAATTTAATAAATGTAAAGTTTATAATAATTATTTTATAATTTTAATTAACTCCAATATATTTCTTTTAAAATAATATCTAGGGTAACAAATTAAATCTTTTCTCCCCTTTACCCGTTTCTAGTTTATAATTTTTAGTCCTTTTCCCGGTACATGAATCAGTAAAGTGGCCGAATCCATCCAAGAAAGTAACATTTCTATATCTCTCTGATAGCGGATAAATTGCGGATAAGAACAATCCCACTACCGACTGATTTTTTCATGTTTGCTTTCTTTGCTATACCGTAAGGAAACTTAACCGGCCTTACAGATCTATGATTTCGTTTCATTTATCAATTTTAAAGCTGATAACGTTTAATAGCGGACTATTCAATATTCATATTTCACATCCCATTCTTATCCCCTTAACACATATTTCTTACTTTTAAATAGAATAATTAATTTAAAAAATTTAATTAACACTCAAATAGTATCATACACTTTCTTTCTTAAAATTAATAAAAAAAGATTAACAAAAATATACTCATAGAATTATTTCATGGTATTAAATTTCCTTTTTTTAAATTAAAAAAAACTTCAATTAATTTCCGTCCTTTTTCTTTATTTTTAAAATTTTTTTTCATTAAAAACTTTAAGAACTTAATCCCTTTCATTTTAAGGAAATTAAAAAAAAGTTTTTTTTATTCGTCAACAAAAAACCTTTTTAAAAAAACCTCAACAAAACTATTAATTAAAAATAAAATATACTTAATTAAATAGAATAAATACGTGCCCTTTTTTAGAAATTAAAAAAATAATTTAATTATTTCAATTTTTGTTAAATTTAAAAATAATTATATTTTTGCTAAAAGGGCTTGTATTTATTTAAAAATTAGCGGGCAAGAACACCTACATATAAATTTTAAGGTTTCGCCTCTCCTAGTCATCCAATTTTTTAAAATTTTTTACTCAATGTAAACTAGCATTTAAGAAATTAAAATTCGAAATAAATAAAGTTTGAACTCAAATTCTGACTCAGAAGTTCTGAGTCAGAACACTCGATTACCTACCTTCTGGCAAACCTCTAAAATATCGAAAAAGTCCTTATTTCCTTTTTTAGGGGATGAATAAATAAGTAAAATATGTAGTCATACAAACTGAAATTTTAATGAAAATCGTATTTATTTTCTAATTATTTTCCTAAATTAACTAAAAAAATTTTTTTTTATTTTCAATTAACTATATTAACTATAAGAAACCTCAGAGACACAAGTTAAAACTTCAAATTGAAAATTCTTTATCAAATTAATGCAAATTTTGCATAAATTGAAATTAATAAAAAAATTTTTGTTTTTATTTAATACAGAAAATTTAAAAATTGAGTAATCAGTTTTAGGCATGTCTTGAATTCTTTCTTAAAAAAGTTTAATTCTTCAATTCTTTGACCAAATTGGTCACATTGCATATTTTCGCGTCCATTCACGGGCCGTAGCATAATGAGTATGTTTGCTGTTAACTTCGCCTAACATAGAGCAAATTGAGATCAGAACTGAAAATGATTTTTAGGACATATGTATGTAGGTAATACATATTGAAGTCGATTAAATGTTAACCACATAGGGGTTAATTTTTTAGATTAATTCCAGCAAAAAATGCTTCATTTATTAAAGGCTTCATTTATTAATCACCCTCCCTGATATGCCAAATTTGGAGGTCCAGTTATTATTTCTGGCGTTTCCCCTGGGAACCGGATACTTGTAAATCTTCGGTTCTGGTCCTTTCACCTTTCCCTTTCAAAATTACCTTTAGAAATAGTCAAAGCTGGTGACCACTTGCTAGTAAGAATATCCAAACACATAGTACCCAAATCGCTGTTAACATATGGTGCGTAAATTTTTGTTGTGAACCTAACTTGTGGCGGTTTAAACGGGTAGTCGTTTGGAAATTTAATATTCAAGAAGATCACCCCTCCCTGATATGCCGAATTTGGAGGTCCAGTAATTGTAGCTTGCCAATTAAAAAGATCTCCATTGATAGGCCCTGCACTACACAAAGCTGGAGGTTCAAGTTGAAAGTCTATAAGCTCCTAAAAATATAATAAAAATTCTACCCGCTTTGAAAATAATAAAAATTTATCCGCTATCAATTTCCCCATAAATAAAAATTAAACTGAAATCTTTATTTTCTTCATTACCAAGGGGTAATTATTGTTTTGTCCTCTCGCTGGAGGGGGTAATTAATCGAGAGAATGTGCTAAATTCGGGATACATCTTAACAAAGTGTAGTAAAAAGAGGGGGTAATTATTTAAGAGGATAATTATTCAAGCATATACGGTAATCAAAACAAACTTTCTGGATTCGTTTAAGCGCCATTAGATGAAAAATTAATTTGTTAAGTTGCAAAAGAAATTTTCAAATCTGAAATTTCATTAAATAATTAAAATTTTAAGGGAAATTTTGAGAAAATCTGACAAACAATAAACAACAAACAATAACAATTAAAAAAATATAGCAGTACGCTCGTACTAAAGGTTGGTTACTCGTCCCTCGAACTTTGAAATTTTCAAGGATCGTGAAGTAGGAAACCATTGTAGTAAATTAAGGCTGTGGACTTTCCATTTACATAAAATTACGAATAAAAAAAATAAAAATATTTTCAAGGTCAGCCTTTAAATACTTTTTGTAAGAGAAAACTAAAAATAAGGAGAATAAAAAATAATTAAACTTCTTTCTTTGATAAAGTTTATTTTTTCTCTTTTTTTCCGGCAAAATAATATTTCAGATTCAAATAGTTTTTTGCCTAAGTTTGCTTTTATTGTCTTATATTCTGGGTCAACTTTAACTTATCATTACGCAGTAACACTTAAAATAATAATAATAATGCACCTACTATGTAAAATGGAAGGGGATGGACGCAAGAGACAGATTAAAAAACGCGACCTAAAGGTCATATTCAATAGAGATATGACTGCTTGTCTGAGCATTATGTACATCTTAAGGAAAATTCAAGACTCAAAATAGGGGGAGCTTTCAATAATTACCTCCTTTCCTTATTTTTTTAAATATCAATTTTATTTTTAAAATAAACATTAAGTATGTAGTTTATCAATTCCACACATTAAATGTCTTCTATTGTCCGCAAGTTTCCAATCCGCAAATTCCACATCACTCATTTTTCAAGTTTTTTTTAAAAAATACAAAATTTATTTTTAGAATTAAACAATCCAAAAATATCACAAAATAATTATTTTAGAAAATTTTTTTTTTAATTTTTAAAGTTTAACAATGTGTGTGTTCCTTTTAGCGCTTCATTTTCCTCTTAAGAATAATTTATTTGATAGCAATTAGCAGAAAAAAAGTGGGAAAGCTTTTGAAAACTCTTGTTATTTATTTTTTTTCTTTTTCAAAAATTTTTTCCTTTAATTTTTTATCAGTTTTCAATTTATTTTTTTTTGCTTTTATTTTTTCACCTTCTTTTAATAATTTAGCCAATTTATAGGCCAAAAATGATGATCATTGGAATTTTTGTGTTTTGCTTTTTAATTTTTGCAAAGGCTAAAATTAAATTAATAGTTATTATTAAAAATAATTTTTTTTAAAAAAATTATTTTTAATGTATTAATTTTTTTAAATGTTAATCTTAAAATGCTAAATAAAATTAAATATTCTGTAAAATATTTTTTAAAAATTTATTTCTAATTATTTCTAAAATATTTTTAAAATATTCCAATTTTTTCACCTGATTTTTCAAAAAAATGACTTTAAAATGAGAAAATTTTCAGCTGTCTTCCACTAAATACTTAAGAGCCTCCTCCACTTTTTTTTACTTCCATTTTCGTGAGATATTCAATTCTTTCTAGGCAATTCTAGACTGAATTCATTTTTTGCCTTTTTAAATATTCCTTAAAAGGTTTGCAGACAATATAATAATTTCAGAGACATCTGAAAACATTAGCATTTTTAATAATTTGTTAGCAGAGGTATACCAAAACTGATTTCAATAAGCAAAAGATTTAAGGCTAGACTGGCCCTCTTATAAAATAAAAACGATTTGTCTATCTCAAAATTGAAAAATAGTTCAATATCCAAATATTTGCAGATAACCGTAATTACCTTATTTCATAAAATAAAGCCCATGATGCTTTATTTTTCATTTATTCTCCAAAGTAGGGCCCTATACTATTTATGAGGACTTTCTTGCGGACTTTTCTGTTTTTTATATTCTCTTTTGGGCTCTATACTAAAATCCTGCGAAATTTTATAAAAAATAATTTGTGTATTAACTAAAAATTAACGAAAAATGAGCTACTTAAAGTATTGTTTGAAGTTTAAAGCTCAATACCAATTAAGCAATCTTATTTAATTAATTTGATGAAACTTCGATAATTTAGGGATATATGAACATTACAATAAATATAAAATCTCCAAAATCATTTAGGATATTTTTGAAGCCTCAAAATTTCCTCCAGATGTTTCTGGCTTATCACAATCAGGAGGGGGGGGGGGGGGGGTTTTATTTCCACTTCTCAAAATCAGAGCTGCGTCGAAATTTCGATTTTCGATTTCGATATTTTTCTCTCTGCTCAACATTCAGCTTTATTCCGGTATAGGGGTTTGCAAAAAAATTTATTAAAAAAATATTTTTTTATTTTTAATTTAAAAAAATTCCTAAATTAATAATTAATTTACACAAAACCAGAAAAATTTTGCACATGTTTT